AAATAAAAAAAAAAAAAAAAAAAAAAAAAAAAAATATATATATATATATATATATATATATATACATAATTCACCTATATATAATATATATAAATCACCTTTTCTTTCCGCCATCTTATTTATTTTTCACTGAGCTCATTGCAATACATTCTGGATTTTGATTCTCCTCAGAGTAAAAGTGGTTCTGCCTTAGAATCAGGTTAAAACGAGCTATCTAAGGCGGCAGAATAATTCATTTACCCAGCGTTTGGAGCAGCCTTAGCGCCTATGGTGTCTCGCAATGCAGCCTCTCTAGGCAGCTCACTAGGTTGTGGAACAGAGCAAATGTAAAGCAATTTTTAGAGCTCATCCATCATCACTTTTCCTGTCAGGAACTGTTGCAATAGTATTTCACCACCATGCAAGTCTTTTTCACATATCAACAACTGCAGATAGCATCATAACCAAAAACCCAAAAGTTACATTTTTGGCAACTGTAAAGGCCCTTTCACACCAAAAGTGAAATTAAGCCTCAGGCTGAATGAAGTGCCTCTGCCCCTCACTCCCAATTTCTCTCAACATGGGACAGGAGAGGTGTCAATGAATAAATGGAAAAACAAAGTAAATTGCATTAATTATTTGAAAAAGTAACTCAGATATTTCATTGTAAATTTAAAAGTAATGCATTACTTTACTAGTTACTTGAAAAAAAATAAAAAAAAAAAAAAAAAAAAAAAAAAAAAATATATATATATATATATATATATATATATACATAATTCACCTATATATAATATATATAAATCACCTTTTCTTTCCGCCATCTTATTTATTTTTCACTGAGCTCATTGCAATACATTCTGGATTTTGATTCTCCTCAGAGTAAAAGTGGTTCTGCCTTAGAATCAGGTTAAAACGAGCTATCTAAGGCGGCAGAATAATTCATTTACCCAGCGTTTGGAGCAGCCTTAGCGCCTATGGTGTCTCGCAATGCAGCCTCTCTAGGCAGCTCACTAGGTTGTGGAACAGAGCAAATGTAAAGCAATTTTTAGAGCTCATCCATCATCACTTTTCCTGTCAGGAACTGTTGCAATAGTATTTCACCACCATGCAAGTCTTTTTCACATATCAACAACTGCAGATAGCATCACGACTTGAAGAACTTCAGGAAATCGAAACACCAGACGGTCAATTAGCAACATCAGAGACATTTAAAAAAAAAACGGGAATATAGAAACAGGTCTAAGTGGCCTGTTACTATACCTGACCTTTTGATCTCATACCTGATAAATCCATTTTTGGTGCTCCTGCAGACAAAAAGAATTGTATGCATGAAACAGCCAGAGGCAGGTGCACCACGACTCCATCATTGAACTAGCTGCAGCCTGTCTGTACGACCGTGATCAACATGCTACTCTTCTAGCTCCTGGTCCCACTTCTATCCAGTGAGGAGACCCTGTGCCTGTGTATTTGGGGTTACCTGCTCTCCCTCGGTGAAGACCCGGGTGCCGAAGCTCCACGTGATGGTGGGTGTGGGGTCTCCGGTGGCCTCGCACGTTAATGTGACCTGTTCATCCATTTCTGTTGTAGTCTGGCTTTCCAGATATGTGATTTTGGGTTTCACTGAGAGGACATTAATAGATATTAAAAGGACATTATTTACATGGCTCACTGTTTACTCAACCTAACGACGTTCCAAACATTTTGTGCAACACAAAAGTAGATGTTTTCAGAATGATCATTTAAATATGTGACCCTGGACCACAAAACCAGTCTTAAGTGTCAATTTTTCAAAATTGAGATTTATACAGTGGGTACGGAAAGTATTCAGACCCCCTTAAATTTTTCACTCTTTGTTATATTGCAGCCATTTGCTAAATTAAATTACATAATTATAACAAATTTATAAAGAATAAAAAAATAAAGAAATAAAAAATATAATAATACTGTGTATAATATATTTTAATAAGAAACCATAATAAAAAATAATACATATTGAATATTTGTATTTAATAATAATAATAATAATAATAATAATAATTATTATTATTATTATTATTATTATTATTTCTTCATTCTTTTTATTATTACTATTAAACCCCAGGCACAAGTTTGAAAACCAGTGGATTACAATTTCCCTTTAGATCCTGCTGCGTCAAAATATTATTTTTAATATATTTTTAAGCCACACATTTTTCCATGCACCCCTATGTTTAATATTCACCTACTGAGATTTTACTGATTACATATAAAGAAAATTGGAAACTGTTAGCCAAACTCTACCTTTCATTCTACTTCTATTTGCCCCTCTATTAGTGGTCTTTGTGCAGACAATCTTGAAATCATGGGATTCTTGACCACAGTGGTGATCCCTTGATTTAAGGTCAAACAAGTAATAAATATACCATAACCCTTGTCAGAGGAGAGGACCCGAGTTATTTTGAGACAAATAAACACATCCTTCCCCCATCCCCCCTCCACGACCGAACAAAAGATCCTTGAGGCGTGTTGTATCATCCCGAGGGATTCGTATCTCACACGCTCTCCACCACGAGCAGAGAGTATGCACTCCCGCTGAGAACACATTGATGGCTGAGGAGAGACTCGGACTTTAAAAGTACTAATGGTGTGTTTTTCTATTCCATGTCATCCAAAAAATTTCTTAATTTATTCAGAAGCCTTTTCATCTTGCTTTGAATTCCTAATCCAAAATACACAAGAGGAGGTGCAGCAAAACCAGTGTTGCAGTAGTGCTTTGTTTCTCCTGGGGTGATTTTGTGAAAGAATATGGGCTTACCGTGCCCAGGTCACCATCGGCTCAGGAAATCCGTCAGCATCACAGGCCAGCAGGGTTGAGAAGCCCATGTCAGCGGTGCCGTTCGTTTCTGCTTGACGGATTCGTATAGTGGGCAGGACTGAGCAGAAAAGAAAATTGCAGCTTTGATATGTGGCACCGAATAAAACTTCTAAAGCTTAACCCTCTTAGCTACATACCATTTTTTAATCTACTTCAAAAAGAACACTTAAATAGAATTAATATATGTTTTTAAAACAGTTTTTACCTTAAGGCAACATTGTACCATTATGGAAAAAAATGATGTTTTCCTACAAAATAAGAATTTTATATATAT